TATCGTGTAAAGTGTTCATTTACGTACACAGGAGTCGCCGCTCCAGCAATACCAAAATCGGTGGTCGTTATGCGTTTCTTTTTGCATTTTTCCTTCAGCAAGTTTCTTTGGCTGCGTTGTACAAACCGTACGATAATGTTTTTTTCCGACGGTCTTTGTGTTGGCACGTTGTGACAAATGTCGATTTCCGCGTCGGTAATAAGCTCGCCTACGAATTCCCCGATTAGTTTTACAATGGCGGTGGGATCAGCCTGTCCCGGCGCTCCTTTGATTTCGAGGTTGTTTACCCTTTGATACTGTTCCATTTCTTCTAGCCTATTGGTTAGGTTACGGTTCTCAGATTTTAATTCTTGGTTGTGTCTCGTCAGGTTCTGTATTTCTCTCCGCAATTCTTTAATGTCGTCTGCGACATTTTTCAGGTCGTCACAGCTTTGGCTGCAGTAGTTCACACTATCTTTTAGTCTCCTAAGCTCGCTTCTTATTTCACGACTCAAGTCGTCGAGAGCTTTGGTAAAATCTTTAGACATCACAGCATACACAGTCCCAAAACAAACAGTTCAAACAACCAACACATGGTAAACTTTGCTGTGTTCGGCAGCAGTGCTCTCAAAGAAAAAATCGTACGAAATATTTGTGACTGACTTTCATCAATTCTCACCTGCAAATGAAGGCGGTGGTAGTTAGATGTGCGCTCGTGGTGCACTGCTGCCGAACTGACTCGAATTCGTCCCGCCGTTCCTGTCGTTGACGTTGAAGGCGCTGTGCCCCTCTACTCCTGAGTAAGTTCGAGCGCATTTTGGAACACGGCTTAGATGATCGTGAGTGCACGTGCGCTGGGCTCCAGTGCTCCAGTTGGCTTTGTGAGGTCGTCGAGTGAAGTGCGGATCGCCGAACTACTCTTTGTGTTTCCCCGAGTTAAGCTAGAACGATCGATGACGCTTTCAAAAGCTAAGAATAAGTTCTTGCAAGTATTTCTGAGATAATACGCGAATGAGTTTCCGTACTTTGTCGCTTCACGGAAACCTGACAAGTATGGATTTTTCACCACGTGCGCCTCTGATGTGAGCGTTTCGAACGGTGCACAAGCCCGACTTCAAGATACACACCGCTTCACAAACGCATCAGAACTATGTTCGTGTCGTAGAAGGGCAGAACACCATCGGCAGTTTCCTCCAAAACAACTGCGAAGACAGTGTGATCCGCGCAGAGTGCCTCTTCGCAAAATATCTTGCAAAAAAAAAAAAAAAAAAATCGCAATTTTTTTTGTTGCGCGGCGGTTTTTTGAATTTTTTTTTTGTTGCTAGGTTGGCGGGCATGGTGGTTATGTCTAAACCTTGGAAAACGGCCCGTGACCACAGAGAAGAGAGCCAACGCGACTCAAGCCGGCCAGTTCTCAATCGGCGGTTTGTGGGCGGAAAAAGACACCGAATTTCGAGCCGCAAATTCTGTTCTGGGTAGTTGGGCTCTTGTATGTCACGTACAACTAAAAACCTTGGCGAGCATAAGTACCCTGCCAGTGCCCCTTTTACTGCGCCATGAAGCGAACCGACGCCATCAGCTTTAAAGCCGTGCCAAACGGCCCCTTCCCCTCTCCCAATGTCATCTGTAGCAGAAATCTGATGGATAGGCTCCCATTGGCTGGCGCGCGTCACCAAAAAACGAGGCTCCCATTGGCCTTTCGTGTGGCGTAGTTCCCAAAAACGCTACAAGGGAAACCCTCTACACCGCTGCACTGAGTCATCGATTCAACCACCGACGTTCGCGCTTGTCTGGAACTTTCTAGACGCAGTTTTACGAACGAAGTCACGGGATTTAGTCAGGTTTCGAGTTGTTTCACTTTAACAGTTCGGACGCATCTTGTCCTTATAGTCTCTTTTCGCACTGCAGTTTTTTTTTTTTTTTTCTGAAAGAGCTGCAGGCAACGCAATCAAGAGCGGAAGAGGATGGCCGCCGCTTCCGGAGGCGCGTCTGCAAGACCTGGCCGGACACATCAAATCCCGGCCTTACCGGTAACTCCGGGACGGCAGCACCGGAAAAGGGACTGCCACGCCAGCTCTCCACCCTCGTCGGTCATGTCGGATGCATCTTTCTCCGACGTCGAGTCATGCATGGAAGAAGCGGCGATACCCTTGACCAGTGACAGGGACGACACCGACGACGGTTTTATCCCCGTAAGGTCCAAGAAAAGTCGGCGAGCCTCGACAAACAGCGGTGACACCGTGGTCTCCTGGGGATCTCGCACGTCATCTAAAAACGCGGCCAATGGACACACGGTGCTGTTCCGACCGACAGACAAGACCAGCGTCCGGGCGCTCAGCAGACCTCATTTGAATGCCCTCTTTGGCTCCGTTGCTTCCCAACAGGTCAGGGAGATAAGGGTCAACGGCAGGAAAAATTTGATAGCAGTCGACGTCCTGACGGAAGAAGCTGTGCCAGCGCTCCTTCAAATTCAAAAGATCTGCGAGACGCCTGTCGACGCACGCGTACCCTGGAAGGTCCGCCACATCGCGGGAGTCGTCCGTGATGTAGACCAGGCACTGACGGATAAAGAAATTCTCGAAGCCCTGCGGGCCCCAGATCACCAAGTCCTCGACGTGCGGCGTCTGGGGAAGAGCACCACAATCCGAGTCACCTTCGCAGGCAAAGACCTGCCGCACTACGTCCACATGGGGTACGTGCGTCACCCAGTCACGCTCTACGTGGCAAGACCACTGCAGTGCTTTCGATGCAACAGAATCGGACACGTGGCAGCGGCCTGCCAAAAAGAGCAGACGTGCGCCAAGTGCTCGGGCGGGCATGAATCCACGGCGTGTGACAGTGAAACTTCTCGCTGCATCAACTGCGGAAAGGGCCATGCAGCAACTTCCGGCCAGTGTTCAGTCCTGAGGAAAGAACGCCGTGTGTGCAAGATGCGCGCCAAAACGGCGTACACCCACTCGGAAGCAAAAGCGGCTATACGCAAGCAGAACACCGGCAAGGGTCACCGAAACGCTGCGCAAGCAGCGGACACAGAACTTCGCAAGGCGAGGTCCCAACAGAAGCTATCCTTAACAGATTTCCCGCCGCTACCAGGGAGTTAGACCGAAGGGAGGGAGAAAAGGAGGGACCAGGATACCACTCATCCTCCAAAGAAGAATCACAGCCGCGGTCTCCGGCCGGACGACACTACGATGGAGGACAAGGGCTGCCGCTATGCCAAGGCCGCACGAAGGGCTCAGGGCAAAGTTCCTGCGACGATGGAGACAGCTGACGTCGCCTTGCTCCGAATGGTATCACGCTTGTTTCGCGCAGTAAGGCAACTGGCCCAAGCACGGGGCCACACACCAGAAGCAAAGTTCGCACTGGAAGTTCTTGACGCCGTCAGCGAAAGTCTCGAGGCTATCGCCCCACAGTCCGCCTGAGCACGCACCATGCGCCCACAACACCAATCTCCCACAACAGTAACCCGTTGTCCTAAGGAAGAGTCCCACCCTAGGCGGAGTGACGTACCAACTGTGCTGCAGTGGAACTGCCGAGGTCTCTCCGTCAAACACAGTGAGCTCAGCCTGCACCTGCAACGCTATCCCAGCCCTGTGCTGGCACTCGCAGATGCAGGGTTACCAGGGAAGCAAACTTTACCTGGATACGTGAAACTTACAACCCAATCCAAGTTTCCCCCATGGGAGCGCGGCTCTTTTTATTCGACGAGGGGTGCCTCACGTCCCAGTTGACACCAGCCGACTGTGTACATTATCGGCGGAATTCGTGGCCGCAAAAGTCAGCCTCGGAAATCGCTCGCTGCATGTACTCGTCGGATACGTACGTCCCGATGGTACGCCGCTGCCGACGAAGGACATTGTAGAGTGGTGTAAAGGCATTGAGGAGACCTTTTACTGTGCGGCGACTTCAATGCGCACTGCGAGGTATGGGGAAGTCAGAAAACCAACAAGCGGGGAGACGCCCTCAATCAAATGATAGAAGAGCTCGGATTGGTTGTCGCGAACAACGGTGCGCCTACCTTCTTCAGGCCCCCTCGAACGTATAGTGTCCTCGACGTCACAGCACACACACCATCGCTGGAGCTGACTTGGGAAACAGCACCAGATACCAGAGGAAGCGACCACTTCCCCATTCATATCACGATAAAGGGGTGCCAGACGGCCCGAAAGGTGACGCGATCGTGCACGAACTGGGACGTTTTCCGTGCATCCTTGGACCTCACCCAAACAGACATCCCAGAAGCCATCGTTCACGCGCTGCAGGCGGCAACGCGCACGTCCCGTGTCTCGGAATGGCTCCCCAAACCGGACCTTACTTTCCTCAATCTCCAAGCGGCACGTACCAGGGCGCAGAGGAAGTACCGCAGGACAAACAATCCAGCGGATAAGTCCAAGTTCAACAGAATATCAGCCAAGCTGCGAAGACACGCTAAAGCGCTGGTTAGAAATAGATGGAAGCTCATGTGCAAAGACGTCAACGCACCCACCTCCCTCGTGAAGTTGTGGGCGGTACTGGGGGCAATGACCGGGAAACGTCGGACAAGACACGCTTTGCAAGTCCTAGCGCTTGCGGCTAACGTAACACTCGTGGATGCAGCAGAGAGACTAGGCGCACTGTACGCCCCCGCAGAAGCGACGGAACGACCGCTGGCACCCGACGCTGCGCCTGGGCCCCTAGATGCCCCCTTTACTGCACCGGAACTCCAAAGCGCCCTCCGGAAGTGTCGTAAGAAGACTGCAGCTGGGCCCGACGGGATCCCTTACCAGGCGCTCACGAACTTAACGAACGATGCACTCGAGGCCCTCCTCACCTGGTTCAACTCCATATGGGACTCTGGCGACGTCCCAGAAGAATGGAAAGTAGCAACGGTTGTTCCACTACTGAAGCCAGGGAAGCCCCCAGACAAAGCTGAGTCTTACCGCCCAATCTCGCTGACCTCGTGCATAAGTAAGCTGTTCGAAAGACTTGTGCAGTGGCGCCTTCGGTGGTACCTGGAAGAACGCATGTGTCTCCCGGAGTGCATGACTGGCTTTAGGAGAGGGCTGGCAGCACAAGACAGCATCCTGGACCTCACGAGCGACCTTGAGGAAAACAAGAACAGGCGGAGAAACACGGTGGCAGTCTTCCTCGACGTGGAACGAGCCTACGACGGCGTGCCGCCATCCACTATACTCCGGAGATTGACTGAGATTGGACTGACCGGAAAAATTCAAGTCTTCCTGGCCAATTTTCTTACCGGACGCAAGATCCAGATTCAAGCTGAAGGCGCGGCATCCTCGCCAAGACTGCTTCACAGAGGACTGCCTCAGGGAAGCGTGCTAAGCCCGATTCTCTTCAACATGGTTATGACACCACTACCGCACTCTCTTCCTTCGACCCCTCTCCCGGTTCAGGTGTCGATCTACGCAGACGACATCTGCCTCTGGGTTACGGGTATCTACACCACGCAGATCCACCGCAGCATACAAAGCGCCGTTCAAGCGGTAGACACCTTCCTGACCAAATCCGGGCTATCCCTCTCCCAGGATAAGACTGTCTGGATGCCGGTACGCGGAAATGGTCGACGTTTTCGCCCCCCTGACATCAAACTGGCAGGAAAACCCCTCACGTGTGTGAACAAACAACGCTTCTTAGGAATTGTCATCACAAGTCGGTTGCGCTGGGCACAAGCAGTGAAAGCGACAACCGCCGTATGCAGGCCGGCCATGAACGCTGTCCGCCACATGACGGGTACCACATGGGGTTGCACAGAACGGACTATCACTAGCGCCCAGTCCGCGCTGGTGACGTCTAGAATCCTGTACCGGCTTCCTTACATGTTCCCGTCCCAGACGGATATGGAGAGGCTGGAGCAAGGGCACAGACGCGGGCTACGTACAGCACTGGGAATTCCCAACGCGGCCAAGAATGCTGTGGTACTCCAGGAGGCGGGAGCAGAGCCGCTTACAGTCCAGGCCAGAGCCAGAAGACTCTCCCAGTTAGCCCGGCTCTCTACGACTCTCCCAGGAAGGTGGTTCCTGCAGCGAATCCAAGCTCGGACCAAAGGGTCATGGCACGACACGGTAGAAGATTTCCTAAACATAGCCGGCCCGCTACCGACGATGACGAGCGAAGCAAGGGTAGCGCCCTGGGAAGTTGCCAAGGTATCCATCGAGCTACGGATCAAGCACCTGCGAGCCAAAAAAGTTGGACCGATCAACGCTCTCAGAGAAGCTGTGGAAAAACACATCGAAGAACGCTACGGTGGTTGGCTGCAGATATACATGGACGGCTCTGTAAACAAGGCTAGAACATCCAGCACGGCAGCTTTCTACATCCCGGAGTTAGCCCTGGAATGGTGCGGCAAGCTACAGGCGCCTACATCCTCCACGACGGCCGAGCTAGTGGCTATTGACAAGGCCCTCCAAGCGGCTGCCCAGCTGTCACCTCACCGGATGGTGCTCCTCACCGACTCAAGGTGTGCCCTCCAGAAACTGGCCAATGCAGAGTGCGCGGATCCCGCGACCACTGCAGCGAGACAAACTCTATCATTCCTGTTAACCCACGGATCTACGGTATGTTTCCAGTGGATACCAGGACACACTGGCATTAAGGGCAACGAACGGGCTGACAGTCTGGCCGGTGAAGCTCACCTAGCGCCTCGCACTGTCCCCACACCACCACACCCACAGCAGGCGGCACTCAACGTCCACTGGCACCTTCAAGACAGCAAGCCAAAACCGGCGCTACCAAGAGGTGCGCTGTCCGGCCTATCTCGGGCGGCGCAGACTCTTGTGCGACGCCTGCGCACAAACACGGCCTACACGAATGCTTTCCTTACGAAGATAGGTAAGGGGCAGCACCCACTTTGCTCCCAGTGTAACTCCGCAGAGACGGTGGAACACATTCTGTGTGTCTGCCCAGCATACGAAACTCAACGAGCAGCACTGCGCAAGAGACTTGGCAAGAGCGACCTCACAACTAATGACATCCTTGCACCCGACGGTTCCGGACGAAAGTGTCAGAACGTCCTGAAAGCCATGTTGGCATTTCTACGAGACACAAAAACCATAACCCAACTTTAAAGTTTTTTTTTTTTTTTTTTTTTTTTTTACGTTACCTGCCCATGCCAGCTACCCCGTGCTAGGCTAACCTAGGTGACGTTTAAAACCAAACGACGAACACACACACACACCGCTGCACAGTGCACGCAGCGGTCCAGTCGCCGGTAAGAGGTGCGGCGGTGCGGGCCTGGCCGCACATCCCGCTCGGGCAAACTCCGGAGAGGGTGCACGGCCGAGCTTAGCGTGGAGCAGCAACTTCATGAAGGCGCGCGCTCGCCCGTCGGCCGGCGAAACGTGGTCTCCCACGCCACTACTCCGCAGACGAACTAAAGGGCTGTTTATACTCCGTCTTAACGTCACCGAGCGCACGCGCTTGTTCACGCTCGCTGACGCTGTCTGTGAACGGGGTATCTGGACTCCAACGTCAAGTTGAACACAACGCAGCGCAAGCAGCTCGACGCGCGACAGCGTAACTTACGACGGACTTGGACATGCTCTACGGTCAACGTTCGACGACGACGTCGCCGATGGAGGCTATCCCAGAAGCCCTAGCGCGAATGCCTCATTCGGGAATCCGGTTGGCAGGGTCGTCGTCGGGGCCAGTCGGAGTGCTCGAGGTGCTCATTTCTGGGATCTGAAGCTGTCGTTCTTGCCGTGTGTAGTGTGCTGTTGTCGTGTTCCCGTGTCGGTGTGCGTATTTAACGTTCGTGCGCTTGACTGGACGAGTGTGTGAGTGGACATGGACCGCTCCGAGGACGCGCTACCCTCGATTCTTGAAAGGCCTATCGACCTTACGAGCCGGTGGTGGTGGGCCGTGGTGCTGGGGTGCCGGCAAAAGCTGGAAGCTCGATGTCGCTCCATAGGTATGATTAATTAGAATTAAGAATGACCTAATGTGTCTGCTATTTATACTCATGTGCTAGTCGCTATCACCGGCAGTCATTTCCGATTGAAAAAGCGTCGTCAAATGTACGGACACAGCGGACACAGTGAAACCTCCCAACTATTTAGCCGGCCAGAAATTTTCAATTGGGCTGTCTCAGCTTGTAAGCGATAGTAGCGGTACGCGATGACAATTGAATTGAATCCTGTATTGTTTGTATAGGCTTTGTAAAGTCAGCGTGAAAGTTTATTATGTTGATAACACACCGGCTATCTTTCAGAAAGAGGTCTCTGTGGAATATTGAGTGCATCGATTTGATTGAAGTATTCCAGCGAAATCGCCGGAGTTGCTTGTGACGAATCCGGTGAACGTGTGAAGCAGCTAGAATTGACAGACGCAACATCGTTCTTTTTACATTTGTGTGACATTTAGGAGAAAATAAATGCTGGTTTGCACTCGTTGTCACCATCATTTGCTTGTTTTTGAACTGATTACCGCTAAGCCGAATGGTTGTTTTGAAGCGTGACAGGACAGCACGAGGACGAACCACACTGACCGATTGCATCTAGGCTAGGTGGCGCAAGCTACTGCCCATAGATAACCCGCAGAGACGATGCGGTTGCCACGGAGACGCGGATGCGCAACGTGGAGCAGTTCGTCGGGGCGCGTTGGACCTACAGAGGTCTACGCTGAACTGTAAACACCATCGTTAGGGCGCTTCTCGGCGCTGTGTAGTGTCCGACGAACGCAGGTCTGCGCCGGCGCGCGTTGCGTTTGTCGACGTAACATTCATGCTTTCATATGCACAGCCCAGGAAGTGCTTAGGTGTCTTCGGACTTGTACTTTTGAAAGTTAGTGCACTCAAACTGCCGTTCATTTTTGATTCCTCGGCGAGTTGGCTTCCCTAACATATGTGCTTTTCGACGAAGGAATGTTTAGATTGGTGAAGCACAGATAGTACCGCTCCTATCTCCAAAAGAACGCTTTCTTTGCGTTCTACCTTGGTTTTGCACAGCCTTGATTGCAATTCAACAATGTTGACGGCGCGAGTAGTTCTGCACGTAAAGTTCCTGATGTCACGGAATCGTCATACACTCTTTCCACCTCAACGTGATGGCCAAGTCGGTCCCCCTCTCCTCCAGGCGCCGGAAATGCCGAGAGAGAAGACAAGTGGAAAGGAGGTGACTGCCAACCAAATCGCGTCTTGCGCCGTCAATATTGCTGTCATAATCTAACCTAGCCTAATCTGACCTACCCCAACTAACTATATTTTCTGAGTCCCAGGCATTTACCCTTTCCAGTATGCTGTTTAGTATCGCGAAATTCGTAAAATAAAATTAATAAAATTCATGAAAGCGGCAAATGAGAGTGTTGCAAAAAAGTGGTGTGACGTCAGTGGAAGGCAGGCTTGCCACTCGAGTTAGCAGTCTGAAAAATAAAATATGCCAATCATTTGTTCCGTGCTGGTGCGCGGGGACTGGAGCGAGCTTCTGAGGGAGTCATTTGACACCATCAAATTGCTTGGAATCAGTTGGGAACAAAATCTACACTCCAAAGAGTGAACCAGTGTTTTCCACAGGTGCCACTTTTTCGTTGTTGCTAGTAGAGACTTTGTTGAAAACAAGGTGAGAGCCAAAATTGTAAATTTAATAACTTATAAAAAAAATATTTCGACCTGATATTTGGGATACTAGGGAGTTTTAGCAGATCGTTTACACATGCATGGTTCGCCCTCGAACGCATCGGCGACGCCACTGCCATGCACGCGCGAGTCGTTCGGGCATCGGGAGGCTCTTCTCGTTCGTTTCTCCCACTCCGGCCGCTGAGGTCGTCACCGCAATGCAGCCGGCGCCGATCATGACTCGGGGGAAAAAGAAGATGGCGGTCGGTTCGGCGACTGACTCCGCCGACCCAGTCGAGCGTTAGGCTTAGGACAGCAGGAGGCGATTGTGAATGCTGTAAACTGCGTATGCTAGTAAATTTTTGCGACCTGCAGGCAGACTGGCTGCCGTGACGACCGCGACGAGACGAAATAATTTGGTTCGACGGCACACAACGTGAATGATCGTTCAAGTTCAAGGAGACACACCGCATACCTTTACGGTCGTTCAGATACTTCTTACTCTATCTAGCTTCGATGTTCTTGAAATTCTGACCGGCAATTGTTACGTCGGCCGTCTTGGTTACATCAGCCATACGCCACAGATTTACACGATGCAGAATGTTTCAAATGTTTACTAAAAGATGGCGCCACCGGTCAAACACAATCATCATCATCGTTTACACGGTTGCGCCAGTTTCAGGATTGGCTAAAATATGTCAAATTTCACGAACGGTTTCTCGGAACGGACCAGCTGCACCGGTCGTGATTTCGGAACCGTATGGACTCGAAAAACGACTCGCTAGAACTCCCTACTATTTCAGCGATGTTCGTTGATGTGTTAAGCAAATGTTCAGGCGAATTGGGGATCATGAAAAAATTGCCGGAGCATCCCTTTAACTAAGGAAAGCCACGGATGTCCTTTGAATATGTGAAGCTTCACAAGAGCGTTTAGTGCCACTACCAATACCTGCATTTTGATGAGGAACAAAACAGTTCAATTGTTGCCACATTTTATGATAGACCCTTTTCAAAAGTGCACCATCTAATTCTAGTAGTTGTAGCAATTTTAGAGTGTGCCAATGTTTGGGTACATACTCCGGGCGCTTGTATTGGACATGAGGGTTGCATTAGCGTTGGCATGAACCCTGCTGAGCTCTTATCAAAAACAAGGTATTTATCAGCGCTCGTCGAGGACTCCGATTCAATGAGGCGCTTTGTGCCCAAGTGATGGCGACCACTAATATTGTCTATTGGCTGTATGCATGGTAGTTTCACACTTCCCTCAACGGGATTTCTCATTCTTTGTTAGCAAAAACTAGTCTTATTAAATTTTGCTTTACTATTTTTGTTCGCTACTTAACCTTGTCTATATTTGTCCTTCATGACAATGTGAAGAAATCTCGTTGAAACGAATATCCCTGCGGCCAAGTAACACGCCACATCACAGTAGCCTTGTTTTTACCTTTTGATTCTTGCCAGGCCTTCCCGGTCATTGTAGAATGTGTCAAATGCACTGCATTTCCACCCCTTAGAGGACAGTTGTGCTATATACGTATAATCTCTGTGTTGCAACCAGTATTTTGGGAGCATTTTGTGAACTCTGATGTCAGCTGCCCTTAAAAGACTGCTCATTATTGCATGATATGCGCGCTCGCTGCTTAGTTGTTAGAACTATTGTATGTTAGAACATACAAGTAAATTAAAATTTTCAATATATCCGCGTGTCAAGAGTAAAAAAAAAAGTGCCAGGTTTGTTGACACGATTCGCAACTCCAACGCTCTGTAGGTGGCAGGGCGGTAGCTCCAAGATGGCGGAAGAGAACGGGATAGATTCCCCAGGTTTACCCGTGCGCCTGCTCGCTGACGCTGGTCAGTGCGCTAACGATAATTGATTTGCCTACAAATCAATTATCCCGTGACGCCGCATTTCTCCGCGGCACAGCGCTGGCCGTCCCGGCGGTCGACGCTCGCGTGATATTATTAAAAAATTGGGCGACTGTACAGTGTTATTTGCAACGTTCAAACCCGCCTCACCAAAACTGACCGTTAAAAGCTATGTCGTGAACAGCTGGCAAGCACAGACGCGTTGGAAAAGCTTCGAGCATTTCTTTTTTTTGTTTTTGTATTTACCTGAAATCAAGTACGCGTATTCTGTCTTTTGAAAGTGCTTGGAACAAATGGGCCATGTTCCTTGTAACCGCCTGAAAACGCGAACCCATTCCCGATGTCTATTGCTCGAACTGCGCGACCAGTTTTCTCCTGGCGCAAAAAATAGACTTTTCGTAGACCGTGCGTTATAGAGGTCCACACTACTAGATGGAGCGTTTGCCGTCACGTTGAGCACAAATTGAGCTGGCGACCCCAAGACCAGGCATCCGCGGCGTATGCTATACACCAACGCCCCTATTATAGTGACATGAGATAACCCGGTCCCTTCGTGCAACGCTATTGCGAGGCGGAACTCAAAAATTTCTATTTTAATGCGCTACCTTTTTTCGTTAAAACCGTTTCACGCAGGAACACGTCGACCAGAAC